TTGCATGAAGTATCTGTTTCTATTTCTTTACTTTCAGTGTGATCTAAAGTAGTCTTGTTGGCAGCACTAGCTTGGCTCTGTTCTTATTCATCCAGATACCGCATGTAATTATGGATAGATATGTATTTATTGCCATTTTATTGTTTTCTGGTTGTTTTTGCGCTTTTTTTTTGTTCCTTTCCTCTTCTCTTGCTCTCTTTTCTTTTTTTACTTCTTAAGTTTTTTATTTTACATAATAGATTTATCAAGATATTATTCATACATTATGCAATTCACCCATTTAAAGTGTGCCACTCAACATTTTTAGTACATGCACAAAGGTGTGTAACAATCACCACAATCAATTTTTTTATTGTGTTCAGTTACAGTTGTCCACCTTTTTCCCCATTGCTCTCCCCTGCCTCTTTCTCCCCATTCCCACAGTCAATTTCCCCCATTGTTTGTACCTGAGTCCTCTATTAATATTCCTTGACTTGCCCCTGCCCCTTCTTTCCTCCATTATCCCCCTCCCCCTTGCCCTTTTGTCACTGTCTGTTTTTTATTTCCATGTCTTTTGTTCTATTTTGCTCATTTGTTTGTTTTGTTCATTTGATTCCACTTACAGGGGAGATCATATGGTATTTGTCTTTTACCACCTGGCTTATTTCACTTAGCATAATACAGTTCAGTTCCATCTATACTATTGTGAAAGGTAGGAGCTTCTTCTTTTTTTCTGCTGCATAGTATTCCATTGTACAAATGTACCATAGTTTTGATCTGCTCATTTACTTGTGGGCACTTAGCTTGCTTCCATCACTTGGTTATTGTAAATTGTGCTGTTATGATCATTGGGGTGCATGGGCTCTTTTGAATTGGTGATTCAGGATTCTTAGGATATAATCCCAGAAATGGAATTGCTGGATCAAAAGGCAGTTCCATCTTTAGTTTTTTTTGAGGAAACTCCATACAGCTTTCCACAGTGGCTGCACCAACCTGCATTCCCACCAAGAGTGCACTAGGGTTCTCTTTTCTCCACCTCTTTGGCACTGGTTGATTTGTTAATGATGGCCATTCTGACCTGTTTGAAGTGGTATCTCATTACTGTTTTAATTTGCATCTCTTTAGTGACTAGTGATGTTGATCATTTTTTCATGTGTCTATGGGCCCTCTGAATGTCCTTTTTTGAGAAGTGTCTATTCAGGTCCTTTGCCCATTTTTAAATTGGTTTGTTTGTCATTCTGGTTTTGAGTCATATGAGTTCTTTATATATTTTGAAGAACCCTTGTCTGAGGTATCATTGGCAATTATATTTTCCAATGTTGTTGTTTCCCTTTTCATTTTGTTGATGTTTTCTTTAGCTGTGCAGAAGCTTTTTAATTTGAGGTAGTCTCACTTGTTTATTCTTTCCTTTATATCCCTTGCCTTAGGGGATGTATCAGTAAAAATATTGCTGCGTGGGATATCTGAAATTTTCCTGCCTATGTTCTCCTATAGGACTTTTATGGTGTCATAACTTATATTTAAATATTTTATTCATCTTGAGTTTATTTTGGCATATGGTGTAAGTTGATGGTCTTCTTGTTCTCTTTACTTGCACATTGATAGTCATATAGTGATTTGTTTAGGTTCCTTTAAACATTTTTTTGTGCATCTATTTTTGGTTACTATGAGATTCATATGTAACAAGCCATGTTTATAGCAGTCTATTTTAAGTTAATGGTCACTTAAGTTTAAACACATTCTAAAAGCAGTACATTTTTTACTCACCCTCATCTATATTTTTGACATATTTTACACCTTTTGTGTGTGTGTGTGTATACATGTGTATTTCTTAATTCATTATTGTAGTTACACTTGCCTTTAATACTTTTGTCGTTTAACCTTCATATTAACTTTATAATTGGTTGATCCACTGTATTTACTAAATGTTAGCCTTTGTTAGGAAAATATTTTATTTTCTTATTTTTAGCTTTGGCTTTTCAATTTAAAGAAGGCCCTTTAACATTTTTTGTAATGCCTGTTTTGTGGTGAACTCATTTAGATTTTGCTTGTCTGGGACTTTTTCTCTCTCCGTGTCTTGCTGGGTAGAGTATTACTGGTGGAAAGTTTTCATCAGTTTGAATAGATTGTGCCATTCCTTCCTGGCCTACAAAGTTTCTGCTGAAAAATTACTTATAGTCTTATCTGGGAATGCCTTGTACATCACTAACTGCTTTTCTCTTGCTGAATTTATGATTCTGTGTTTAACTTTTGGGATTTTAATGACCACATGTCTTGGTGTAAGTCTCATCTTTTTGGAAACTCTGCTTCCTGGACTTGGATGTCTATTTTCTCCACTGGTTAGGAAAGTTTTCAGATATTTTCTTCAAATATGTTTACTGTTCCTTTTTTCTTTCTCTTCTCCTGGGAACCCTGATTTGTTAGCATTCATAAAGTTTTCCCAGAGGTCCCTTAAACTGTCTTCATGCCCTGATTCTTTTTCCTTTTCGATCTTGATTGGGTGATTTCCAGTACCTTATCTTCCAACTTGCTAAGTCATTCTTTTGATTCATCTAACTTGCTGTTGATTCCTACTAGTGTTTTTTTTTTTATTTTAATGATTGTATTCTTCAGTTTTGATAGGTTTTTTTTCTCTTCATTGAATTTCTCACTGAGTTCATCTATTCTGTCACATTTGTCGAGCATCTTTACAACCATTATTTTGAACTCTTTATCTGGTAGATTGCTTGTCTGTTTTTTTTTTTTTAAACATAGTGTCCTCATTTCAGCTATCTCTGTTTTTCTATGAATTAGGTGAAACAGCAACCTCTCCTATTCCTGAAGGAGTGGCCTTGCACAGGAGCTTTCCCTTCATACATTGTGTGCGCTGAGTTTCTTTGCAGGGCAGCAGGGGCTGGAGCTGGAATTAGCCACAGGGAGCCCTGGGGGCAAGCCTTCAAGGAGCTGCTGTTGGGAACTGCCCTGCCTGGTATCAGAAGCTATAACCCCCACCAAGGCTAAGGCTGAGGGAACGACCTTGGACTGTAAACCAGCAAGGAGACAAAAGCTTATCTCCCTGGCAGGAGCACCCTTCTGCTCCTTTTACTTCACCCTGCCTGGCCCCCAATGCTTGGTTGGTTAGCCAATGATGGGTAGGATACCCCAAGGGGGGAATGATCTAAGACAGGCATGATCACGTGGGAGGCCCCCAAGGGAGGACTTTGGGGGCTACAGCAAAAGGGGGTGATGGACCCTCGCTCCTCAGCTTTGACAAAAGCCTGAGTCCTCATTGTCTGAGAGAAAATCTCCTAATCTCTTGGCTGCCTTACTTTCCTTGCTCCACCTAAGCCTGAAACAATGACAGAGGGTGGTGCAGCCCTGTGCTGGAAAGGGCAGGTTCCCCGGGTGATTAGGCCTAAGAAAGAATATGTAAAATCTTGTGACACCTGCTTTGTTTAGAATGCTCTCAATTAACTGATAAAGGTCCAAGCAAGAAGTAAGTTTGTTCCTCAAAGTTTTACAGCTCTTTAGCTATCTGACCCTGACTCAAAATAGGCCCTCAGAGTTCCTTGTTATTTGATCCTTACTTCCTGGCAATGAGTAATGAGCTTTACCTGAATTCCTGTGTAAACGAACCCAGTGAAAGCCATTGGGGAAAAGGCTCTTAGTCCTCCTGTGAGAGATCAGCCACCTTTCCTCCCCAAGCAGATCATGTCTTATTTTCATCCGTGGCAGCCGGGGGGGGGGGGGGGGCCCTGCAGGCGGAGCCCCCCCAAGGCTGCCTAGGCTGAGACTGTAGCTGGATTGGGTTTGGGCCAAGGGGAGCCCCAGAAGTAAACTGACCTGAGGCCTGAAGCTACAGCTGAGGTGGGCATGCACTGTGGAAAGTCCTGGGGGCAAGCCACACTGGGACTCAGTTTTACCTGGGGCACATGCGAACCATGGTGAGTCCCAAGGGCCAGCTGTGCTGGGAATGCCTTGGCAGGCCATTTGGAGTTGTACTTGGAGTGGGCTCAGACCATGGGAAGTCCTGGAGGTTGTGCTGAAGCCTGGTACTGTGTGGCTGAAGTGAGAGTGGTTTGCAGGATGTCCCTGGGGCTAGCTGAACTGGTGCAGGAGCTGTGGGAAATCCCAGGGACAAGCAGCACTGAGGCCACCTTGGTGTGCTGGATGAAAGCTATAGCTGGAGCAGGCCAAGGAGAGACCCAGGGATAAACTGTAACCACAGTCCAGAGCTGTGGCTGGAGCAGGTGCAGGCTGTGGGGAATCCTAGGGAGAGCCTGGTGTGTACTGGGATCCCTTTGGCTGGCAGGTAGGGCACCTGGGCAGTGCAATCAAGGGGGAGGGGCAACACAACAAATGGTGCCCTCTGGTACCTCAGACAGCTCTAGGGTTAGTAAATGAGTTTCTTTCCAGTATAGTCCAGGTGCCCTTTATACCACTGTCTTCACACAGTGCTCCAGGATGGGCAAGTTTGTGTGTGGGCTTCAGTGATGCTACCCTCCTGCACATTGATACCTTTGGATTGGGGTTCCCATGATGCCATGTCTCTATCTCTCCTGCCCATTTCTGTGGCCTCTTGTTTGCTGTGCATAAGCCGTTCAGTCTGCCCTCAGTTGAATATCTCTTTAAAGGACAAAATGTCACTCCAAATGGACCTCATGAACGAACATATATTATATGATTGCTAGATACTAAGCTTCATTTGTGCAAGGAGAGATGCAGAAAACTAGATTTATACAATAAAATCAGGTCACAGGAGTTAAGAGAAGCTGAAGGCCAGGGCAGAAATAACTTAGGTTAACTGCTGATAGAAAATTAGAATAAGGTACGACTAGTTCTCTTTGGTATTTAATCTCTAGTTTCATGTAAATATGGCTCTAACAGACTGATAATGAAGGTGTGCTTATCCTACAGGAGACTCACGTGTTATGAACCACTGACTGTAGTGAGTTGTGGGACCCGAGAAGGATGTTTTTATGTATTTAGCATCTGTGCCACTGCATGAAGTCCATTTCTTCATGAAACAAAAACAAACCACCAAAAGAAAAATGAATTTTTTAATTATTTTTTCTCAGTGGCAGAATCACATAGCCGTTTTGATACGATTTCCAGTTAGGTCTAAAATACTGCTTTTTAGAGCTGTAAAAATTCTATTACATAAAGACAGAACAGACACAGGATAAATAGAATCACATCAGTTTATCAGATGGTAGTTCTAAAGATATTCTTTTCCTTATTTTCCTATAAGAAATATGTCAAGGATCAAATTGGAAATTCTACTATCAGCATACAACTTCAATTTGGGAGGAAAAAACCTAAAGGAAAAGACAAAATCAGTGACGTGGTTCACTTGCAATGCTGTCCATGTCTGCAGAAGTTTGCATGTCTGTGGGTAATTTTATTAGCTGAGAAATTTATAATTTCAAAAAAAATCTAAGAAAACATAAAATATACTATGTATATGTGTGTGTGTATATATATGTGTATATATAGAGAGAGCAAGAGAGATGGTGCGTGTATGTGTATATATATCTCTATATATATCTTCAATGTCTTTTTCCCTTGAGACAGAGCTGCTTTAGGAAAGGAGTCAAAAACCCTTTAACGGACAACCATTTGTTATTTATCAGAAAAATCCAGACAGAAAATTGGCAAATTTGGTACATGGTTTAGAAAGTGAAACTTTACAAATTTTATAAAACTGAATTAAAATATGCATAGACATTTTTTACTGCCAAATGGTCAAAACGTTATTGTTTTTAAATCTGAAAGACTAAGGATCCTAGGGGAAAATCCACTCCTAACACATAACAGTATTATTGTAACAGAAGTAAAAAAGCAGATGGACAGATGGCATCAAAGAAAAATAAACCAAGTAACCAGTTACCATTAAAAGCTAGAGTTGTATTCCAATTTTAAAAGAAAGTATAACTAAAGTGGATGGTAATGTTCAAAACTGATGGAAATGATGTAACTGATGTAACAATTTACAAACCACTGTGAACATGCTCCACAGTGTGTACATCCAATGAATTTACAATTACACATGATCATGTTAAGAATACCATTCACATGGACTGTTCCAAGGTATCATTTAAAAAAACTCTGCATTGAAGGTTTGGATGGTGAAAGCAAGGATATGTTTTGTTTTTTACAGAGACACCAACACAGGGAATGCGCTCACATTTCAGCTACCATTACACCAGCCACAAGTTTTAGCCTTACAGAATACAGCCATAGCGTGTGAAATTATAATGTATTTATCTTCTTTAAAACCATTTTAAAGGACACATCTGTTATTTTTTGGAAGTCAAAAACCAGAAAAAAAATGTAACTGATAAAATGCAGTCTTTAAAGTATTTTGTGGCTAATTATATGCTAATTTTCAAAATACAATAGAATTTTTGGTCCATGAGGTCTTTAAGAAACAAAAGGTAGGGAAGTAATTCCTACTTATCAGTAAAAATACGAAGTTCATGAAAAAATTTCAATACTTATTAAAATATCTTTTTACAGAATGCTTTTTTGTGGTTAAACATAAGAAATCTCTCAATGACTGTGAGCAGATAAAACATGTAAGTGAATTAAGATGCTTTAATGACTCACAAATCTTCTTTTGCAGCCATCAATAAAAAGATTTCAATGCCAACTGAAATACAATTACAAGGATTTCTTATATTAACATATATTGGGATTGAATGCTTAAAATGTCTGCTTTTCTCCCTGTAGGGCAGGGATAAGCAAGCTGTGGCCCCTGGCCACGTCTGTCTTGCTGTCTGTGGCTAATTTCACGCAGTGGGGGCAGAGGTGAGTAGTTCATCACCATAGTTAGAACTATATGATTCTCAAAGCCTGATTTACTATCTGATCTTTTATAGAAAGCTTGTCAACTCTCGTCCCAGGGAGTTTTCCAGACCAATCTGAAATAATGCATGTTTCTCTAAACACTCGTTCTCTTATTCTAATGTATGTGTACAGGTCATGTATTTTATACTTCATTTTATTTGTTGGTATATACCTACAAAGTCAACAACCTCACTGAGTTCCCATGTTTAACATATAATATTAGGAACACAGCATTCTCTCTGGCTATACTGTGTTTGATTTCAGGTCACTCTGGAATGCTCCAGGATGTGGAAGATAATAGAATGGATGAGCCATTCACTAACACAATGGCCAGAAAATTGTACATCTTATTTTATAGTGAATAAGGAAGTTGGACTACAAAAATAACCAAACCCAAAACCTAATATACCTTAGGGTAAATAACATTCAATCAGGAAAAACAGCTCAATAGTTTTCAGAACACACATATACATATCCAGAGCCACCCTCCCACCTATCACAAACTAATAGTTACAACATAAAATATATTTGTTTAATAAATATATTACTGTTTATATACATAAGAGATACATCCATAAAAGACATGTTAAATAATTATTTGTATAATCAATACTACTTTAAGGTTTTTGTGTATTTTAAAATTACAGTCTATTAAAATTATCAAAATATTTAAAAATACCAGGAATAAAACCAGTGAAGAGTTGCTTTCCATTCAAGCATTTCTAAATCTTATCATTGGTCACCCAGACTCAGGCATGTGTAACTCAAGGAAACAGTTCAACTAAGGAAAAGTTAGCCATCAAAAGTATAACACCCTCCCACTGTTAGTATTACTTCATAACAAATATGTGTGCATGTAGGTATACATATAAAAACTTTTTAATTATAGTACACATTCTTATAAATGTATTTTCATAAAAACACAAAAGTTCTAGTTTCTACCAGTATTAAATATTTTATACTGGTTTGCATTTCTTTCAAATGTTTAGTCAATGACAGGCTCTGTCAGGATACAGAGGTCATAAAAAGGAGACTGAAAACTTATGTATCACATGCAAGAACGGAGGTGATACTAAGGGCCAGTATTTGGCCACTTGGGTACTATTTCCTCTGTACTAAGACACAGAGACAACGAACTGGCTAATTACTGTGTAAAGTACAGTGAACTCTCAGTTATTCAGGGGCAGAATATTCCAATCAAAATCCTTTCTCCTGGCAGTTTCACTATTTATTAACACACCTCTCATTTATTATCAAATCTGGTAAAAGAGATGATAAAGGTGAAAGTTTTAGCTAAATTAAAGGTTTGAAGTCAGCTTTGGATTTAATTTAATGATGGATCCTTTTACTTATTGCACTAGATAGTTAAGAATTTGCTGTATCCAAAGTCTGCCAAACATCTGATTCTTAAGCTCTGAAAGCAATATTAGTGCTGAAAAAAAAAAAGCGGAGGAGGGGGGACAAATTCCTCGACATAAGGAAATGGCTGTATCTTAACTTACAATTATACTGAAAGATTTCAGAGTGGGTAGTTCAGAGCTATTCACTTCAGGACAGGTGGTGGCAGCTACACTACTCCTGATAGTATGAAATCCAGGAAGCGATGACACCTTATTAGCTAAAAATGTTTAGAAGGTCAAATTAAAGGTGTGATATACATTCTACTTAAAATCTCATTTATACATTTGGTAAAGTTTGGCAGAATCTCCAAACATTTGATACCAAAATTAAGAAAACATAAGCAAAACCTTCAAGTACAATTTAAAAGTGATTTTACACTAAAAAAAAGGGCTTAGAATATGACTTGAAAAAAAAGTACTACACATTTGTATCCCTATTTTTTTGGCACTGGTTTTGCCCCTACATTTAAGCTTGTTCTACAGATAGTGACCCACAAAACCAAGGAGAACAACTTCACAAGTGAGTGGGGTCACTCTCGGACAGCCACCACTCAGAATGGTTTGTGTGGCATCATCTCTATTATTTCCAGGTACAGAGGAGTACCACACTCACTTCAAAAACAACAGCAATAATTATGTAGAACACCACTTTCCTGAATTAAGTTTGCTGAACACGGTTCAGATTATTGGGTATGTCAAATATGCACAATGCCTTTTAGAAGCATTTACCGTATACCCAAACCCTACTTCATGCAACACACAGTGTCACACAAGTAGTGAAAATGTTATCCTAGTCAAAGGTGCTTGGACACTATTTTCAGGCAGCATTTTACCTTTATTTTAAGTTAAGTTCACACTAGATAAGTTTTAGAAGAAAATGGCAATGGATTTATTTAATATATTATATAAAACTAGGACAGACACTTTTATTTACCTAAACTGTTACTTTAATTTTCTACCTTATTCTAGACCTCAATTTTACTTAAAAAATTTGTATTTAAATAAGGGATAAAATGTTGCCCAAAAGTCTAATCATAGTTACACATTTGTGTTTTAACTAGATCTACAAATCAAAATAGTTCTTATAGTTAAAAAGATACAATTTGTATCAACAGTAAAAGGTACTTTCTGGTTTTTTAGGGCTTTACTCCAAACTGTAGCGCATGGAATAATCAGAATAACCAGGGTATCTTGGCAGTCTACAGAAACAGATCCAAGTTAAGTCCATTACACTGAGTAAAATTAAAAAACTGGAGGCAACAGGGAAGTCATGTCAATCACATAACTGCCACTGTTTCCAGTATCTGTCTTCTAACCAACAAAAATGAATTCGCATCTAGCAAAACCCATGACTTTGAAACCAGAAATATCCCTTACTAATACTATAACAGACTTTAGTCTGTATCTAAAACTACACTATTTGTGGCAAGAATCTGGCCTTAATAATATAACAGGCCCCCCATAAAACTACCTTCAGGAAAATGGAAAATATACAGTATCTTACAAAAATTTTAAGTTACCATTTACAACTCCTCCATCATCATTTCCATAGTGCAGTGCCAACAAATGTTGCATATCCTCAATGCATAAAGCCACCCCAGGCCAGCCTTGATAAATAGCAGGAAAGCTAAAGAGTGTATTAAATATAAAAGTTGCATTGAGAATAATTAGATTCATTAAAAACAGGCAATTACTGCAAAAAGGTTATTTTATCCAGTATTGTTGTGCCCTCAAACAAAAAGACAAACATTAAAAATACAGGTCAATGGAACTCTAGGAATTCAATTCCATTTCTACCATCTAGAAGCACACCATAGCTGGATAACAAAGCTGTAAACTGTAACAGTTACGGCTTTTGCCTTAGTCATAAAAAAAAAAAAAGAAATGGAAACATTTTTTCCATTGATTGCATCTGCTTTCCTTTAAATCCACCATATTAAATTACTCAACAGACAAGAAAATCCAAACAAAAATAAAACAATGAAAAGTGCCATATTGTAAATCATCCTAGTATATACTGTTACCCATTTCAACATAAACTGGTAACTTACATTTGTTTAAAATATAAAGTCAGTGCCGTAGTATATCTTTGTTTCTATAAATAATGATTATAGCACAAAGAAGCCCACTTTCCCCAAATAAAAATAACTTAAAAAGCTGTAAAAGATTCCAATTAAGCTTGGCTTGAAAAAATAGTTTGTTTGCTAGGTCTAGTCAAATGTTCAACATTCTGAAGGTATTGTAATTGCTTGCAATTGATAGAGAAACACCAAGTTAATAAAACATGAAATAAGGATAAAAAGTGCTGCATATAAACCCCTGATGCACCAAAGATTAATATCAAAGATCACAGATACATCTAGTAAGTCAAACTGGAAAAATTTCCAGCTGAGGATATAGCTTTAAAAAGGAAATGTTAAAAAAAAGTTTGAATGTAAAGCAATCCCGTGATACTTCCACTATGTGGGGCTATACATACAGATTCCATGATACAGTATTTCACATAAATGGATACTATATAACCTCCTTGGTGAGGAGATCACATGTGCTATTGTAGCAAACCTCCCTCAGCATTTGAGCTGAACAAAAAACTAAACACCACAAAGATGCATCATCTTTCAGTAACCCAGCTGTGATTTCTCCACCAAGATGGCTGCGGCGAGTTGCTGGGCATCTGTCACGTGAGGGTTCCTCTTCATGACAATTCTCACAAGGTCAGGGGGGAAGATGTTGCACAAGTTAATATAAATCTTTTCTCGGTTGTCTTGATACCTTGGGGGATCTTGTGGCAGTCCACAGTACGGTATTCGCCACGTTGGCTCCTGCTGTTCAGGTAGGCTCTGGAAGGTGAACTGCTCATAACATGGCTGTGTGGAATTATCAGGCAAGGAATAAGTCTGCCTATAGCCATACGCCTCAATCCCATAACCCTGCCTGTCCCAGGTTCCCAGCCCCTCCTGGCGGGAGTAAGGCTTTCTTTGTCTTGAAGGAGAACTGTCATACAGCCGAGAGTCAGAAATGCTGTCTATTCTTGTGGCTACTAAGGACCGTCCTAAGTGTGGTGCCTTACAGTGTGCTGAACTTGGAGGAGAAGGGTAATCACCAGGACAACTGGACCGGGCTCCCACAGCAGGGTGCTGCAGATGCACAGCCAGATGTGGAAGAGGAGGCTTGTGATGGTACTTTGGTTCTTCATGACTGTAACTTTGCACTCTGGTTAAGGGGTCGTGGAAATTCTGCAGGAAAGGTTGGGAATTAAGGCGGCTGTGAGGGTACATGTGTTGACATTTTAAATTCTCTTCTAGTTGCGGGTCAGGAGAACTGACATAGGACCGGTCATTGTACCCCACATAGGAGTCACTGCTCCCACAGCTCATGCTCCCTTCGCTGCTGCAGTCAGAAGCTACAGAATTTATCCTATAATCTGTGTCTAAGGAAAAACGCCTTTCAGGACTTCGTGGGCCTGAGATACTCAGATTTGAATATGCATTCAACATGGAATAATATCCAATGTCAACAGGCGAGTCACATTTTGGATATGGTTCATAAGGCATTGGCGTTCCATGATTTTTGGTTGCCATCATCATTGGAGGATATTGTCCCTGTGGTCTTTGATCCTGAGGTGGGAAATGAACTCCAGATGGAAGGCCATTGCTTAAAGATGTAGTGCTTTGGGGTTTTGCAGTAGAAGTAGCCGGTATACTAACTAAGGAAGGTACAGATCTGGTTTCCAGTTTGTTTTTGGTGGGAAGCTTTTCCTCTAGGTCTTGGTAGACTTGAGTCCTAATACTGGGATCTGACTGCCTCTTTGGAGCACCTCGTTTGCCATCAGAAGTGCTGTCAGCCTTAGTGCTGCAGGGGACACTGTTGCTTTTCACTAGTCCTCCTTCATTTGCAGTTTTGGCAGCCGTATTTCTTGACATGGCACGAAGCTCATCAGCCACTGACCGCTGTGGCTGGCTGCCCCTTTCCGGATGGTAGTATTTGCACTTGTGTCCGTAGGTGCACTTCTTTCCTACGAAGAGTAAAACTCATTAGGCAGAGGAGCACACCACCAGGTCCTGAAAACTGGTCTAGCATGACTACTTTCATTTGTAAAAGATGCAAAGGCAGAAATGGGAGATATACTGAGTGTTACTCTGCTCCTTACTTTTGAGAAATGCCACCTTTTAGCCTTCTCTCCTCAGGACTGTTGACAGCACTAAAGAAAGCTGGCTGAATGATTAATAATCACCCCCAGAGTTTTTGGCTAATACCCTGTGTCCTCAACTCTTACCTACCTATTTCTCTTCCAGTATGACTTTATAATCAGGTAGGACATTCTGTTTTGGGGGAAAAAATTATATTGCTGTAATGTGATAAAACCATTCCAATCTGATGTGCATCTAGATACAAGAACTCCAAATTTTTACCTACCTGAAAACTCATGTAGAATTTACTATATGAGTTTTTGGAACCATGTTTTAATTCCGAGAAATGTATTTGCATTGAACCCCAACTAGGTAAAAATAATCACTATTTTCTCATGGTTAGGATGTTTTCTTAAATTTAATTATAATCAAAAGAACTATATAGTATGCCAAACAAAACTAAAAATGTTTATTAACAAAAATGTAACAACATACTGTGTTCTAAAGGCATATGTTAAATGCTCATAAAGAAAGTTACCATATGGACAAGGCTGCTTTTTGTGTTCAGGAACAATAGGCTTCTTCCTCAGGAAATTATCCAGGCTTGGGCCATGTCTGCCCAGAGGGTCATCAGGAGGCATGAACCTGTCATGGATAAAACACAAAATGATATCTAAGTAGGAAGTTGATAATTTAATTCCCAAAAGAGTGTAAATATTTATTACTATACGGTACTTGTTTTTTTTAATTTTAATCCAAGTACTTTGAATCAACATTTATAGGATAAAAATATTAATATATGAAGTTCTTTTTTCTTGATGAAAACAAAATTAAACTGTTTCAAGCTGAACTCATATTTGTTTTAACTCAAATTTTGAGTCTAGCATGTTCTAAGGATTTCTTCCTTCCTCTCAGTGTTAGGATTTTGTGACATTTTAGGAGAGTTTTATGAACACCAATCTCGTGAAGCATTATGAACTGGGGGTGGGAGGGGAGTGACGAGGGGCAGCTGAGGAAGGAAGGGAGACACAGTATAAACTGAGGGGAAGACCGTTCCTAACCGAACGCCCAATGCGTGCCAGCTCCTGTGCACACATCATCCCTTTAATCCTAGCACGATCCCTGAAGCATCAGCTCTATTTCATAGATCAATACACTCTTCTAATAGATAAGTTAAATTAATATTTTTACAGCTTTTTACCCAGCTTAGATAAATTAAGTAACTTTTATCTAAGTTCACATGGCACAGTCAAGATGTCTAACTCCATAGTCCATTCTTTTCCCACTTTACTAAGGTACTTCTCAGCAGATACAGAAAATGTCTTAAATAAACTGATAAAACATGGCAGGACTTTGGGGCTGGGACACGTGGCATTCAGTGTAATCTTCTCTCCACCATAGATGGTGCCATCCTGTGATGGGTCCAGGCACCTCTGTGGACTTGTTGCAGCAAAGAAAACCCGGTGCTGCTGCGTTCGACCCAGAAGGGACCTGGCTTCGGGGCCAGGGTGATGGGATCAGAGGTGAACATTCCTAAAAGCCACCAGACTTTCTTAAAATTAAAAGCATAAATTATAAGCAGTGTGGCAAGCACCAACCCCACAAAGTAACACAGGACAAGAAGGGCAGGGATTCTCTATGTGTGCAGGGAAGGAGGCATTATGACAGGAAGCAGAGTGGCTGTGGTGGGCAGACTGAGCCAATTTTCTGAAGAAAGGCTAAAACTACAAAGATTGTGCTGAGGCCCGACTGTGCCGAGCCCAGCGGCAGATCTAAGGAATGCTGGCTATTAAGAGATGCAGGCATTTTGAACTGACAGGAGATAAGAAGAGAAAGGGCCAAGTGATCCAGTTCTCATACTTTGTTTTATAAGCTTCGTATTTTGTTTTATTATGTGACAATAAAATCTTGAGGATATGTTCACTTAAAAAAACATTATATTGGATTGATTGTTCGATGGCACCAAGAACTCATGGCATGCCTAATGAAAAGCAGTTATAATGAAAAAGTTCTGCTACTAGTTATGTCACTGTTTGAACTTGAAATAAACCAAGTATTTACCCATGAAATGTGAATAATATATGAACTCTTAAGGGAGAGTCAACATGGCTGAGTAATAACACTTAGCAAATACAGTGTTTACTATTAGTATAAAAACAATATGACATTAAAAGTTTAAAAACAGAAGACAGTCCATCCTACAATCTTAATACAATTAATTTCTGCTTCTGTGTTGCCTAGCAGTCACTTTTACAAATACAAAGTATGCATTCAGCATTTTACAAATACAAAGTTTATGCTTTCTCTTTTTAACATATTTTTCCATGTTTCTTAATGGCTTTTCATAATCTTAATTCTGGAAAGCAGTATTACTTGTAAGTAATTCGTTTTACTTACTTGTCATTGACAAATGAGTACATTAATAATCGCTCATCTATGAACTTCTTCCATTCTGGTTTTTCGTTAGCCAAATCCCTGTAGTTATCATTGGACACGATTATACCATCCGACTCAAAAGCCAGCTTCACGATGAACCTGTCATCATAGCACACCACTCGCCTGCCCTGGACTCGCCGGGAGGGGGTGAACACCAGGATCTTCTCCTTTTCCAATTTACGAAGAATTTCTTGATCTTCAGGATAGAATTTCAGGAATAAATACATACAAAACACATATAGCAACTTCATACATTATAATATTTTATGAGATAAACTGGATATATGCAATCATTTAATTAGGGATTATGATTAATAGTTTGTAGATGTAGCAAATTTATAACTCCCAATAATATTTTTCCTTCAGGATTTCCAGTAACAAAAGTTTTAAAAATAGCCCCCTCCAATGAACTTACAAAACATAACTTTAAAATTTCAAAACTTCAAAAAAAATTAAAAGCATAAAATTTAACCATAACTGAGTAACTTGTGACTTACATCCTTTCACCCTGCTTTTGCTCTTCTACTCCCTGTTGTCCCACCATGTGAATTCTGGCACAGAGTGCCAGGTGTAAGCCAACAGATACCATCATTTAAAAAAAGGCTTGCTACTTCTCAGTGCTTATTAACCTGAGTTACTGATTTTTTTTAAAACTCTATCTCTTGAGCAGATAATCCCTACATGCTTGCTCTATGGTAAGTACTATGCTAAGTGCTAATGGCCACCGAAATTAAGAGTGACCTTTCTTCAGGAAGGTGTCAGGTACTGGACTGGATACACATGTAAACTAGGCAATCAAGGGTTGTGACTGCCCTTGTTTACAACAGAAGTATGAGGAGGGTACCAGGGAAGTGAGGGTACCGGGGAAGTGGGGGTGGGACAGCGACATGGGTCAACTTGCTCCAATACTAGCATACAGATTTCATAATGTTCCTGATAAAATTTCCAAGTTCACCAAGATGAGACCTTTGGTTTTGAAAAACAGCAGAGAAGTGCAAGAAATGTGGATCTTAAAATAAGCAAGTTATGGATAGATCTCAGGTTCTGCTACTTTATATATACGGAGATCAGTCTTACGAAGCCTGTTTTTTTTTTGTGTGTGTGTGTGTCCTCAAAAGCAGTTGATGGGCTATGAGGAGTCAATGAGTTATGTGTAAAAGCACTTAGCAAAGTGCCTGGAAAACTCTCAATAAACACTGTGTTTTTCTTCTACTTAGTTTTGTTATGGATGTATGTAATTGTTGGTCTCCTTTAAAAGTCACAGAAAACAAACACAAAATTAAAAGCCCGGTCTCATCTGTCACCTTATAATTATTATGTGTTCCCCTGATAAACATTTTGAGGGCAGATGCGATTGTCTCATTTGTCTTTTGTATCTACCAGCACTCAACACATCAGTAGATACTCAATAAACATCTGCAAATGAATATATTAACTACTTAATGATGTACATTCAGAGGTTTTCCAGTTTATTTACTGTCTATGTTCAAGAATAATCCAGGGTACTGTACTTGTCAGAACATTTAGTCATGTAAAATATGCCTGGATCTTCACCAAAATGACTGAAGGAGCTGGTGTGCTGACCTAACAGTCACCACCGTCTTGCTCACTTTGCATTTCTTAAACAGCTGAGAAAAAAAGGACACTAATTAGGATGATAATTAGTTGATAATTAGATGACAACTGGTTAGGATAAGTAATCCTAACTTAAGTAAATATCGGTTTAGTATAGTTAGTGAGTTAGCTGAATCTCTAGCTCCTTGCACAGTACTTGATACGTAGCTGAGTATCTGCTTGTTAAGTATTTGATAAATCAACAGAAGACTAGAAAAACTGCTAGTTTGAATCTATATCTGAGAACTTGAAAATATTTCTTATCAAGTTTCTTTTCTGATTGAGTGAAAAGATATGGGACTACTCAACTTATCTGTTTGAAGGTTTGAGTCAAGAGAATTATCATCCTGGGGGAGAAAAAACCTAACAATCTCTGACAGAAAGATGCACTTTCCTTCGTGTTCCAGATACATGGTGCCAGAATTCTTAAAACTAAACTATCATTTTTTAATTGTTATTCAAATATAGCTGTCTCCATTTTCCCACCACCACTTTTCCCCTGCCCCACTTCCCCATCATTTTAACTTTTTTTTAAAAAAGGATTTTATTTATTTTTAGAGAGAGGGGAAGACAGGGAGAAAGGGGGAGAGAAACATCAATGTGTGGTTGCCTCTTGGGGGCCCCTCACCAGGGACCTGGTCAGGCATGTGCCCTGACTGGGAATTGAACAGGTGATGCTTTGGTCTGCAGGTACACGCTCAATCCACTGAGCTACACCAGCCAGGTTACATTTTAACTTCTTGATCTCATATTTCCTTGGTGCTCAAGACACTTTCTATTCATTTTCATGTTTAAATACTATTTGTCTATTTCAGTTTGATTATCGTTAATATTTGGGCATGTTTCCTTCTAGTCATTTTCTGCATATTTTTCTTTCCATTGTTTATATATGTATGTAAATGTGTGTATATATACACATACACAATAATAAAACCTGCCTTTATGTAAAAGAACATTCCTCAGGTCATTAAAAATTCTGCCTAATAACCTAATATATATTTTGTTCTATCAATATATACTAATTTGTTGAACCATATTTTAAAAGAAGGTATGGGTTGTCTCCTTTTTTTCCTATTATAAGTAATATTGCACTGAATGTCTCTGTGGTCAGAAGTCTGTGTAGACCTCGGCTTGTTTCCTGTAGAATTATTCATAGAATGGAGATAGTAGATCCAAAAGTATTAGTATTTTAAGACCAAACTCTTCCAGAATGGTTGTAACAATTTACGTTTCCATAGCACTGGAGAAGTAACTCCCTCAAAACGCTGAGTATTATCAGCTTTTTATTCCTGTGAATCTGATGGGTGAAAAATAAGACTTGTTTAAATTTACATTTCTTTAATAACTAATGAGGTCGAACACTTTTTTCACTTGTTTGGCACCTGCATTCTTCTGTGAGCTGTCTCCTCCTCCCATGTTACCATTTATATATTGGGGAGAACTGCGTTATCAATGTATATGAGCTATTTTTATGTTAAGGACATGGATTCTGTGTTTATTAGTTGTATTTTTTCCTTAGGCAAATAAAAAGATTTCTCATTTTTAAGAAAATTTCCCCAAATACATAAGTTTACATTTGATGCAATTAAATATATTTTCCTTCGTAATTTCTTCTAAAAATTTTAAATTTAGATAGGTCTTCCCAGCCATTCAGAGACTATTTATAGTCTCTAATGATTTAATTTTTGACAATTAATTCTTCAGCCATCTGGAATCGACTGTTACATGGTATAAGATAAGGATCTAAGTATGTATAATTTCTCCATAGAGTTATCCAGAGTCTTGGTATGACTGGTTGGATTACGCCAACCTCTCCTACCTTACAGTTTATATAGGCTGGGGTCTGAGTCCATGGCTCTGAACTTCACCATAACTTGCCTACCTGTTCTTATGCTAGTTTGATAATGATTATAGATAAAAAGAAAAGTCTTAAAATAAGACTTCAGGTACATGGTAAGTGGTTTCTCCATTTACTTTTGACTTTGAAGTGTATTTTCTTCACACAGGTTCCTTAGCTTTTGTTGCTATTGGAGGTGGAGAGGGGTGAGAAGGGTTAGATGCTCATTGAGAATCACTTAACTTCAGCAAAATGTTCAGCAACAATTAGCAGGCACAGAGGGCATTTTTGCCTGAAAATCATATACTTAGAAATTACAAAACAATGCAAAATGAGATACTTTATTAGAATAGAGTCATTTCCTGCCCTCTGCACCAGACAGCATATCCTGAGTGTTATAGATCTTTTCTGATCTGTAGTCACTGTAATTTGATATTCGCTTTGTCTAATTCTTACAGCAGATGAGAAAACTGAAGTCCAAAGAGGTTCAGGGTACACTATGGCTAGTAAATGGCAAAGCCAGAATTTGAATCTAGGTCTCCCAACACCTAGCATGTCTCTAAAGGTCAGAATTTCACAAAATTTGAAGTAAAAATTTACAAATTAAAAAAGAGGCTTATGTAACAAGGATTACCATTTAGTTAGCATAATCAGATAATTTTTCGACTTGAAAATAACTCTGATGTTCCACCAAGACCATGTGCAGTTGTTACACTGGGTAGACAGAAAAAGATTAACATAGTGTTCAATAGAATACCTGCCAGAGCCAGATACCTGCAGAAGGATACACGGAAACTAAAAATATACAGACACCACAGCTTACCTGTAATGAGAGCATCAGGTCGGGACTGCTCTTTTCTCCAAGCAGGGACAAAAACTGTAATATCTTTGTGGCTTCTTTCCAAAAACCAATCCACTGCCAATTTTATTCCTCGACAGGAAAATACTTCTTTGTTTCCATGGCTGAAAGATTATTTTAAAACACAACACAACAAAACTTAAATTTAAATTAATTCAAATTTGTAAACAGAAATGATCACATAATTACAACAGAAATAGGAAGTTTCAAATTTAGGGTGGAGTTGAATAGCTTTGAGAAACATTAAGATAATCTAGGCATTGAATATCTGTGAGAAAAAAATAAAATTGGGATGATTATTGTGTGGAGAATAAAGAAAATTAAGTAAAATGTAAAGCTGTAAAGGTTAACTACTCAGAAAGCTACATGCTCTCTTTAACCAGAATGGGAAGAAAAGAAAGGGTCCTCAAACACAGCAAGAATAATTTCAATCAAATGTAAAAAAGGAGTCACATAGAAAAAAAAGTCTGTAAAAACAATGGAATGGAATACCCATTTGTTTTTAAAAACTTCTTTCTCAAGAGTTCTTATGTGTGTATTTCAATATAATGATTAAGTAATGCACAAAACTTATATGGTGACCATTTAAAAGAGTGTACACATGTGCACTAAAGGGAAAAATACATGCACAATGCTTAATCTCATACAAGAAGCCCTTTCCATATCCTTCATGGAGAAGACACCTGGTTTCTATTTAACACTATTGTGTTAGCCAAGGACTAATGATGGCAAAGCTGGATTAGCAGTTGCAGTGCCTAAAAGAAAATGCCTAAGAACATGTATTTACGTAGCACCAGGTTCTGCTTATGACTGTAACCTAATAATTCAACACAACACTTCTAATGGTTTAAAAAAAAAGTCTACTGTTTTGAATGCGATAACAACATTCTTTTATAGTTTGAGCTCTGAAGGCTCCATTTCTTATCTGTAATGGAAACAGATATTCTTTACTTGTTATGGCTGAGAAGGGATAAATGAAATAGATAAATGCTTTACTAACTTTTAGCACAAGTCAAACATTAAGTATATTAATATATTGTTCTAGTGGTCCCCGGGAAGCACTAGAACCATCTAAATATGGTTAACCATTTTGAAAACAAAAAAGAGATAAACCATCTTGTTTTTTAGATATTGAAGGCTATGCAAGCAAACCACACAGACTTTGTGGTTCCACACACCCATTCTAATCAGCCGGGGCATGATCAGAGCTGAAATCAGATGTACTGGGGGTTTTAGGGGAAGGGATACTGGATGGAGGAGTTTGAAGTCACATTTTCTAGATGGAAAAGGGCTATTGGAGAGCCTCACACCAATGACCCAGCAAATGACACAAAGTGATGTTAGATTTCATGGAAAATATTATTTAATCAGTCTTTTGAAAAACTATAGAAAAGGACAATAGCATCTCTTGAGAGGATATATATACTAACCATTCCTAAATGCAAAAACTCAACTTGCTAAAACCTGTTTTATGTTGCATTAATGCTTTGCAATCTAAGTGTATGATTATTTGTTTGTCATTAATGACATTTAGTTTACTGAAACTTCTGTCTCTGAGAGACCACTATAAGCATTTCTTCCCCACTTGGTAAGAATAGCTGTCACATTTTACTATAGGAAAAGAAGAGTCTACCTTTGAGTTAAAGAATATTTTCGTAAAATGCGGTAAGCAGCAAACGTAAGACAAAGATTCTATATATGCTGAAAGAGGACACTGTACCATGCAATACTGATAATGAAGTCTGTTTTCATATTGTCCCTTTCCTCTCTGCCCCTCACCCCCAGCCCCCACCTCACGAAGCCTCACAGGGAGAAAATGGGCAGGAGGATGAAAGGTGCCACACTGTGAAGAGTCAACAGGAACAGAAAGAGCCTGGGTTTGTGAGCAGATGGACCCAAATCTGTCTCTGATCTTGTTATTTGAGGAAAAAAGACCCTTCCTCATTTTTTTAGGAAACTGTAGTCAATTTTTCTGTTATTTGAAGCTATTTACATCCTTAACTGCTACATTAGTTATACCATAAACCAAAAAAACTGGCAAAGCTGTATATTAATATCAGGAAAAATATTTTAAGGCAAAAAATTACTAGTGATAAAAATGTTATTACATATTCCCCCCATTATCCCCTTTGGTGGTGGGGAGTGCTGGGGGCAAAGTGGAGACAACTGTACTTGAACAACAATAAAAAAAGTGAGGAAAAAAAGAATGCAAATTAAAAAAAAACCTCCAGTGAGGGGGGGTTATTACATAATAGCAATAAAGGACCAATTCACAAGGAAGCTATTATTGTGAACTCAGTTTCCATATGAATTATGCAAAAGATCACAGGATTACTAAAAGAAATGAATGAATCTACAATCATACAATGAACAGATAAAGCAGAAAGCAACCAGTGAGACTGTAGGCTGAAACAATCAATAAAGCTTCATTTAATGGACATATACAAAACCCTGCACAAAATTAGTGAAGAGAAAACCTTTTCAAGAACATAGAAAAGACTGATGCAATTAGCTGTGTATGAGGCCACAGAACAGATTTCAACAGACATCATACATCTGCATTACACAGATAACATTTTTGACAATGTTATTACATTGAAGATGTAAAGTTCTAGTTCAAAATTAGTATTGCTATTCATCAGCAAACCAATTAAAAATTTTAATTTAAGAAACAATTTCATTTGTAACAGTAACAAAAATTAAACAAACCTAAGAGATAAGATATGGGAGAGATTTATAAAGAAAATGAAAATTGAAAACCTGTATTAAAGGGAATATGAGAAGACCTAAGTGATGGTAAGACTCAACTTCTGAAGAAGCAATTCTCAAATTAATCTATAGTGCACTGCAATTCCAATAAAAATCCTCAAAGGGTTTTTTCTGGGACTTGAGAAACTGATCCTAAAATTAGTATCAAAAACCAAAAGGCCAAGAATAGTTAAGCAATTTTGAAGAACAAAAGAGGAGGAACTTCCCCATTACTTATCAATACTTAGTATAAAACTACAGAAATCCAATCAATGTCATACTGGTATAGGCAAAGATAAAGAAAGAAAGAGAACATGTAACAGAAAAGTGAGAGTAAGGTGATACACATGTATAAATGATAAAAGTGACATAAATCAGTGAAGAAAACTATTCAACAACTAGTAAGTACTAGGGCAATTGGTTATTTATATGGGAAAAATAAACTTGTATTTTTATCTCATATCATACACAAAAATAAACTGTAGATAGATCAAAGATTCAATGTGAAAAGAAATACTGTAAAGCTCTTAGAAGAAATTATAGGAGACGTTCACATCAGGATAGAAAAATACTTCTTAAAGAAGATATGCAACCACATGCTCTGTTAAGGAAAAGACTGATACATTTGGGCACATAAAACTTCTTTATGCAAAAGACTCCATAAACAAAATAAAAATGCCATAGACTGGGAGAAGGTATTTACAACATATAGGACCAACCAAAAGGCTAGTACTCAGAATATATTTCTCAATATAGTAGAAGAATAACTATTACTCATTGAGAAGGGTAACAGTTATTTTTTTAAGGTAAAAGATATGAACAGTGAATTCATAGAAGAGGAAACCCAAATGACCAACAAAGATGAAAAGATGCTCAATAGTGAAGAAATGAAAATTAAAGCCAAAATGAGACACCACTTCACACTCATCAGATCGGAAAAATAAAGTCTGCAAACACCAGATGCTGCCAAGGATGTGTGAACATAAGAATTCATACATTACAGGTGGGAGTGTGAATTGGGTAACAATTCAGGAGAGCAATCTGGCAATACTTTATAAAGTTGAAGGCGTGTTTTCTCTAAAACACAGTATTCCACATTTAGGTATAGTAAAACCCAACAGTAACTTGAAATCAGATTTAATGCAATTAGCAGATGGCTTTCATATTCCACCCAGCCTTAAATCTCAAGGGGACAGGCTAATATCTTTATCTCCTGCAGGGAGAGGGAAAGCCAATCTTCCCCTTACCAGGCCAGAGAAATGAATACTGACTAGGAAATCCCTGGAATTGCTACTTGCCTTAGAATTTCTTGCCAGCCAAGGCCCAGAATCATTCCTGGTAACATGAAGTCCAAGCAGACCTACTAACTGGGTCCACACTGCAGGTGGGACTTCAACAGACGAGGAGAGGTTGTGGGAGACTGAACTTACTCTAACCCTACTGAGTGAGGCATGTTGAAGGATGTTGACTAATCACATGTACTGAATACAATATAAGGGGCAACTGAGGAGGTTCTGATAAACAATTATAACAGAGTAAGTCTGATAAAAACTATGAAAAACAGGGTGTTAGAATAAGCCTAACGTAATTACTGGTACAAAGTAACTGAGTGTTTACTGTAGCCACTTATGGGCTATATCTGCATGAATTCAGCATTATGTTTCCTCAGTAATAAAAATAGCTAATTATATTTTTATGAATTGGTATATTCCTTTGGGCCTCTATTTCTTTTTTATTGTGACTATTTGGTAGTAAGGATGGTATACCTCAAGTGAATCCTTTGCTGGGTAAACTTACTGGAAGATTTTGGTCACTTTTGATTAGCTAGGAAACCCTGAATATTTGCTTAAAAGTATCCCTTTATCTGCTTTAGCTCAGTGGGATTGGGCTCCCAGGGAAAATTCCAGATCCTTATTGCAAATTTTGAGTTACTGTTGAGCAAACTGGGTAATGTAGGCTTGAAGGCTGCATGTGATTTACCATTGATTTCAATGGTAGAAATATACAAAAAGCCTGACAGTGGGTCTCTTTCTTAAAAGGCTTATTTTACTGTCATGTTTCGAATAGCAAGCATATAAAACTCCGGCTTTGCAATGGCCAGAGGAAGGCTCATTTGAAGTGCACAAACTGGTATAGTTACAGAGATGTCTAGAAAAATCAAACTTTAAGTAAAAGAGTTATTGGTATCTCTGGGTCTCAGGAAATAAATCAATGAACTGGACAGCCATAAGAATGAATTAAGAAACTGAAAGCTCTTTCCTCTTTCTCAAGGTTTGCAAACCTTCTCTGTTGTTGCTCCTGCTCCCTCTATTCCCCCTTCACCCTTCCTTGCTTCAATTGTTGACTTCTTGGATGG